CATTGTGATGCAGTTTGGTCGTGTAGCAGAAGATGTGTTCACTCTGGACTATAATTATCCCCTCTGTGCTCTTCAGGCCTTTGCTATTGGACTCTCCAGCTTTGACAGTAAATTGGTCTGTGAATGACAAAACAGACTTGAAACATGGAACTCATTCCCATGCCTGCATCTTGTAGGAGTTCCAGGTGTAGTAATGAGGAGCATATTGGAAGGGAAATGGAGGACAGATTTCTACAGGCTTATTAGAAAGCACATTCCGGCCCTCAGAGCATTGTGAGTGTTGGCAGTAGACCGTCTCGGGAGCAGCCTCTGTATGCATTGTGGAAGAACAAGAAATATAGGTGATGATTTTGTCATTGGTTGATTCTGCTTTCAGAATCTTTGTTTACAGATGCTGCATGACAGCTGAGCCCACTAATTGGAACTCCTTGCATCTAGGATAGAAAAATAATGGCTAAGTGTTCCTATACCTTGAAACTTCCTTAAAGCCTGGAAGATGATGCTACTCATGAGTTTCTGATCGGATGAATTCAGAAAAAGAGAGAACAGCTGGAATAAGACATTGGCTCTAATACAACACTTTTAGTTTGTGAGATGATTCTATGTTAAGGCTGATAATCCATTTCCCTTTCAGTATTCTAATTGTTCTCTATCCCTTGACAGTCTTTTTACCAAATAAAGTACAGTCAAATCTCAAACACTGCCTTTTCACATAGTGATATTGTATTCATTGCTGCTTCTGTTAAAATGAGACTGAATAGATGACAGAGTCTGACTGAATTTGACAGAAGGTAATATTGTAACAAAATACAGTACTGTTCCTGAAAAGCAGTGTTGTGATTGAATTGTCCATTGTTCATAAGATTTGCTACATTTCTAGGAATAGGTTTGTGACCAATTTAATTTTTTTAATGTGAGATTATCTCAAGTCATGACACATTAAAGTAGATTTTATATAAATAGTTTTAACCTGACTATAGGAAGGAGTTACATCAAAAAGAGATTACAGGTATTTTTAAAGGTATCAGTAAGTTTAAAGCAATTGTATCATGAGACTTTGCAATGTGTCCTTCGAGTGTTCCATTTTTAATACTGGATGTACAATATGGAGTCTGTAGGTCACAGCATGGAACACTTCTTGATTCATATGACCTTAACTCATCAGAGTGGATTGCTGCACGGTGTGACATGGAGGCCTTGTAGTGTACACACCTACTGTCTACTGAAGCACAGAACAATCTTGCAGCAATCCCATCTTGGAACAATCCTATCTTGCCTGTTTCATGGCCATTACACATATTCATGATGGTCCTGGAAAAGACTGTCCTTCTATTGAGACAAGAATTAGTTGTGCTTCAGCCTTGGGTATTGTTCTTGTCAGCAGACTAACTCTGTTTTAAGCTGCAAAGATCGGATAGATTGTTTTCGGTCTCTGGAGTCTTTGCAGTGGTGAAGATCACTTGCTCTTTCAAATTAACAAAATTTTGTGGAGACGTTTTCTGCTATTGCCAGAAAAAATAATTATGGTAATCGTGTGTTAACTCTGTATTCAACTGTAAAATATGGATCGATGCTGAGAAGTCCATCTCTGGTATCTCTCAGATGACCATTCTGCATTAGCTGTGAGCCATTGTCTTGAGATGATCTTATCAGAAAAGCAGTCAGTGAAGAGAACTTGAATCCTGATGGATCTCTTTTGTGCCTTTGTGTACTTCCTGCTCATCAGGTTAGGGACCAGACCTGGCAATGCTTTCCAGCTATGTTCTTCTGAGGTCTTGGCTGATGGTTCTTCATTCCTGCTACCCATCCAGAAATATGATGTCCACTTGTGTACCTGTCTGATTATTTTTCTGACTAGGAATGAGTGAAAGAAACTGTCTTATGTTATTTTGGGATGACCTGAAGGTAGAATGCTAGTTTCCAATTCAAAATGATTTTCTGTGTGCTCAGAAGGCCACAGTAACATCCCTTTACTCAATTAGGCCTGTCAGAAGTGGCTCTTCAAGCTTTTTGTTGACATCAATGATCCTGTCAGGGCCTCTCAGTCAAATTATACAGACAGATGAACTGATTCAGTGCTCTTTATCAGATACCGTTTTACATTAATTGTATTTATAACTTTTATATCTAAATGAAAATAAACTAATTTATATATTGAAAAATCCTTAATTCTAAATGAGTTGTTTGGGGTTTGGGGTGGTTTTTTTAAATTTATCTTATTTTATTTAGGATTTTGCTGTCACTTGTGGGTGTTCTTTGTTCCTTCTGTATGAGATACTACCTCGATTTCTTTCCATCTTCTTGAATCTCATCTCTCTTCTTACTCTCTTGTCCTTTTTCAGTTCTCTGTGTTGTTTGGTTTTTCTTCCATACACTTAGAAGTCTGAGAATAAATGTAAGATTAGTCTCTCTAATACTTCCTTCCCTGCCCCCTCTCCCTATTACCAGGTCTTCCCTTAACGTTCTTGGTTTCCATTTGATTCTCTCTCTAAGCAAGTTCCACTTCCCTGTCCCATGTTTTTAATGTTTTTCCCAGTGTCCAGTTAAAGCGTTTGAGATGCATTTTCCTACCTTCCATCTGAACCCATTCAAGCTTTGAAGTACAATAAGATTTTTTTTTTTAAACAAGAACTGAAGAAATACAAGGGAAGGAGGAACATCAAGTCAAAGTGGTTATTTTTTCCGATTTCCACTGAGATATCCACTGAGATACACACAAACCTCAGTTTGTGTGTAGTCTTGTGAAATGGACCTATGGACAGATTCTTTTGGCAGAGTCAGGAATCTCATCTTCTCTGCTACAGTGTCAAATTGTTGTACATAACTGCAGTTTGGAACTAGTTCAGAACTAAGAAAGACCTTTAAGTTATCCTGGGGCTGAAAGCCCTGCCAGGAAAGAAGGCAGAGACCCTGTACCCCTCTTGTATCTCTTGAACTGTACAGTCTATAGAGTTTCTGTCTTCTCATTCCATTCCTTAATGTGTTCTATATGGACTTACTATTTTCTCACTGGAAGCTGGAATTCACTTCTTTTGTCCCAAAATGGGAGGAAAAAAAAGAAGCAAACTAATTTCACTGGAATTCATTAAGGTAAAGGCTATGGTAACCATAACCTGCTCTGGTAATTTAAAGTTCAATTTAGAGACTACATGAATAGGTGGATGTATTCCAGAGGCTGGAATTTGTGATCATTTACATTGATTGAATTAACATTTCCAAAGAAGGCAAACTATTGCACTGTCTGTAACAAAACAGCTGAAAATCGTGAAGAAAGCAAAGGATTGATTTTTTTTTTTTTTTAATGTTTAATTTAATTGAGCCCTTTACTAAAGGGAAAGCAATACTAATTTACTGTGGGGAAAAAAAGGCTTTATTTTATAAACTGCATAACAAAATTATTCTGATAGAATACAGATAGGTTTGGGTAATTAAGTTTGTTAAATTTGCCCAACTCCCTGCTTTCTGTTCTAAGTGGAATAGTTTGCTTCCACATTACCTCTAGTAAAGGAAAAAAAAAAAAAACACCACTAAAAAACTCGCATTCTCCTGAGTGAGTTTCCATCTGCAATTGACTGGAGTCCTGCAAACAATCTGTGTGATGATTCACAGGAAGGAATAGGTTTCAATTCCTTCTCTTTGAGCTGTGTTGATTTGGCAAGGAAATGGGAGCAAAACAATACGTTAGTCACATAATTATGAGACCTAGCCTAGAGTTCACAGTGAATATATGTGATGAGAAGTGAACTACCTTTCAAAAATAAGTTTTTTATTAAAATGCATTTTTTTTAAAAAGGCCTTAGTAGAAGTAGTGGCTAGATTAAACCATTACAGGGCTTTATATAAGAAAGCAACCCCTCTCAAAATAATTTAATTGAATTTTGTATTATCATCTTATTTATATTCTATGTACTCTCAATTCCTACAGTTGTATCAGAAAACCTTATTTTTATGAAGCTGATGAGGTTTGTCGCTTGGTTTCTGAGGCCTTAGGCCACATTTAGGACCTGTTTTCAGTCTTTTCTCTGCAACTTGAAAGAGTTACGAACTTTTTTAGCCTTGGGTTCTTCCCAAAAATTGAGATTTTCTCGTAATCCATTTCTGCAATATACTGAAGTTTTAAAGAAACCTAACTCTTTGCAGGTAGTTATATGCACACCAGGCATCTGCGAAAAAGTTACCTGCTAGAGCGTGGAAAAGTTTATTTTGCTGATGTAGCTGCGTTCCCAGAGCTGCTGCTAGGATGTAATTATATTTACTAAATATAAATACTTTTGTTCTGGGGAACGTGGCTCTCAGCCTGGTATCAGCATTTCCTAGCGCAGCGCGGCGGCACTCCTTTATGAACGGACAGAAGAGCAGCTTCGACGTGAGGCTGAGAAAACCCACACAGGACATCGCACTGCTGTTAGGTGAGTAGTTTGCCGCCTGGGATGCTCCCGGGACAACCGCTCTGCCCTGCTGGGGTTGAGTTGTTTGTTTCGCAGGGGCTCAGCTATGCTGGGTGAAAATCACGGCACATCTCTTAAGGGGTTTGGAAGCAGAGCTGCCGGCGGGCCGGGTCCGGCTCGCAGGGATTACGCAGGGAAGCCGTGTCCTGCCGAGGCGGCCGGAGGTGTCCCCGGCACCGGAGTCCCCTCGCCGGGCGCTCGGCCCATCGCCGGAGTCCCGCCCCTAGGAAAGCACCAGGCGAGCGGTGGAGTTCCCGGGGATCGTCCCCCGGCTGAGGTCGGCCCTTCGCGGCCGCAGACTCCAACTTTTCCCGCGGCCGAGCACCGCGCCCGCTTTCGATCCCTGGAGGAGGCGGCGGCGGCCGCGTCCCGCCCGCTCCCAGCGCTCCCGAGCCGCCCCCTTCCCCCGCTCCCGGAGTTTCCTTCCCCCGCCCCCGCGGGCCCCTCTTCCGGCCATTGCCCGCGTTCCCTCCGCCCCGGTCACACACGGCCCCCGGCCGGGGACCGCCCGGCCCCGCTGGGTTTTGTTCCCAACTCCGCCTCGGCCCTTCTCCCGCTGCCCCCCGCCCCCCGGCAGTCCCCTCCCAGCCCCGTCCCAGCCTTTGCGCTAGCAGGCAGTCCCCTCCCTCCCTCGGCCGCGTTCATTTCATACCAACTCTCATTCCTAGCATTCCTCACTTCCTCCTTTCAAACTCCAGGGGAAATAAAATCCCTCCCTTTTCCTCCCAAACTCCTGCCCGGCCGGCCCCCCGCCCCGCTCGCCACTCCGCCGGCCGCTCCGCGCTCCTCAGGTGAGTGTGCGCTTTGTGCCTGCGCTCCCGCCGGCCCGGCCGCCCCCCTGCTCCGCTCCCATCCCATCCACTCCCGGCCGCCCGCCCGGCCTGGCATTGTTCGCGTCTCCCCGCCGCCGCGGGACTGAGGAAAGGGGAGCCCCGAGGGCCCACCCCGGAGCCGCTCCTCGCCAACTTTTTTTTCTTTCTCTCGGACTTAGCGGCGGCGATGCTGAGCGGGAGGCTGACCCGCCCGCTCCCCCTGTCCCAGCCCCCGCTCCCACCCCTGCGGGCTCGGGGGTGGGGATCGGGCGGGAGCGAGGGGCAGGCGCGCAGTAACAGCACTTAGTGCTCTTTTGGCAGAAAGTCCTGGAGCTGAAGGAGGATTTGAAGCCGGTCCCCGCTGCCCCTACGGAACTGCAGCCGCTCTTGCCTCGCTCAGGTCAGGACACGCTGTTTCACGATCTCTTTCGCGCGGGGCGAAGGGGCACGGGTGCCTGCGGGAGATGGGCTGGAAGGGAGGGTTCAGACCCGGTTATGTGCGACAGAGGAGGCACAGGCGTACAAAGGAAGCGATGGGAACATCCTCAATGGAGGCTCCGGCGGCTTCTCCCGTCAGGAAGGGGCTGCTGGCGCTGGCACTTCGGGAGCTCGGTCTCTTGTCTCATCGGCTGAAAACTACAGCGCTAATGTGAAAAAAAAAAAAACCAAACAAACAAGGTTGCTGTACCGTTCGTAGAGATGTGCCTGGGGAGAGTGGAGAGGAGAAGCAGTACTTTCTGAAATCAATGTTAATGTAAATTTTGGAAGATGTTTTTTAGAAAAACAAACCAAAATTTCCTAAGGAAGCCTATCTATGAGAAGGCGTGTGGGTTGTTGCAGAGTATTTACCAAAAGATGAGGGAATAATGTTTTTCCCAGTTCAGTTTTTCTGAACTTTAGGGTTCAGTTTTAGTGGCATGCCGTCGGAAAGGATTAAAAACAACAAACAAACAGATATAAAAAAACAAACAATAAGCTTTCCCAAGGAATCTCTTATCTTATGTAGATAATTCAGTTTAAACAATCTCTTGCATGGGATGATAAAGATGGGGCTTTTTTGCAGAAGAATGTAACTCAACGTGCTTAAGGACTTCTATGAAGTGTTTTAAAGTGAATGGTCATATGTAAGTTAAAAAATACCCCAAACAAACAAAAACCCAGAACTAACCACAACTAATTACCAATTTTGTCTTTGTTTAACCTGAATTTACACTCATGTTGCTTTCTAGCCTTAAAAGTTGAGTTCTGTGGCTCTGCTACAATTAAACAGCAAAAATGCCTTTTCAAACGCGGGCGGCGGGGTGGGAGAGAAGGAGATTTAGGGGTTGGTGTGGTTTTTTTTTTTTCCCTTTTCCTATTACTGCGAACAGATCGGTTTCCCCAAGACCTTATTGCATTGTCTGTGTGCAAAGTGAGCGGAGCATTCGTTCACCTGTCTGTCCATCTGTCTGTGTAGATGTAAGAGGTTTTATTGTTCTCCTGCAGAAGGAAGTGGGCAGTAGGACGGGGCAGAGAGTAACGGGGAGGAGCGAGAGGAACAGAACGAGGGGGAAAGCAGAATGGATATATAGTAAGTGGTAGGGCTGGGTTGCTGTGTTATCACCTGTGCAGTTAAAGCATTTTGGTTTTGATAGGTTTCTTTCTCACCTCTGAAAAGCGTGGATCGTCCTGTAGTGAATACAGGGGGACTTCTTTATTGGGGCTGCTGAATGGTGAGGGACTCCAGTTTTCTCTGGAGCTTGGATTGGCAAAGTGAAGGTCAACCAGTCAGTAGGTGCAGTCACCTTCTGGGTTTTTACTAAATCCATCTGTGGATTGCTCCCTCAAACTCAAGCATGAAACAAAGTCTATCAGTCCCTAAACTGGACTATCAGCTTATTGTTTGTATCTTCTTGGAGGTGATCTTCGAAGCAAATAAGTGTGTATGAGAATGGGTGCTAGGAATTTCTCCAGTGTCTCCGTTCCTAGTACATCTTTGGGATTTTTAAATTAGTTCTACCAATGGCTTTGAAATGTTCTAGGTTATTATTGTACCAAGTTTTTAATGTTGGTGTTTTACAGAACACTTGTGGAAATATTGTATGAAAATAATATCGCCAAATTTTAAAGAGGAAAAAAAGAGCTCTATGGCACCCAATCTTGCTTGTGGCTTACATAAAATCACAGTTGCTGTTGGCTTTCTTACTCAGGTATTTGTTTCATAGAATTCGAATACAGTTAGTAGAGTTTTGAGAGGGCTGCTGAAAAGAACTGTCTCTAAGAGATGCTACTTTCATCTCTGTTTGGAGTGACATTACGCTCATTCACAGCTTTCCTTCCTTAGTATTATGTGCCCTTTTCTGATTGTACCTCTCAGCTCTTGGTTTTGTCCCAGCATAACCCGAGGGGTGGGTCCACAAAGACTTGGGGCTGGCACTGCTGTGGAGAGAACCTGTCCACACAGCCTCAAACAGTCCATTTCCTTACTTGTCACACCTCTGTGCTTTGTTGCTGGCAGGGACACTGGCACTGCTGTTCACTGGCTCGGGTCAGGGGGCCGATCCAGATGAAAAGTAACGCTCTCAGCAAGTGAGTTTCCAGCCACATCTGTTCGCCAGTCAAGTTAATCGCACGGCCACGTGCTGGAGTGTCTGGAGGAGGGGGTGCAGTGACTGGAGGGTGAGCAGTCGGGGAAGAACTGGGGGTATTTTCTTAGCAACGTTGCCATTTTTCCTCACCTTAAGTAGTTCCTTGGACTACGTCTACAGTAGTTCCTGTGATAGTGAAATGAATTTCTGACCACAACTGTATCTTAAGAAAGTGAAAATTCGGTGTTACCTTTCTTTAAAGATTTATTATACTTTCGCTTTAGCTCGGGTTTGTCTTTTGTTCATTTGTTCGGTTTGGTTCCCATCCCCTCAAACACTACGTAAAAATTTTCTTGGGCAACCTTTTCATCACCCAGTGTACTTTAACATCAGGAAAGTTTTTGTTACTCTGTTGGAACAGTTTTTGCCTTGCTGTTTCTCTGAAATGATTGTTTATTCTCTATCTCTGCATTTGCATCTTTTAAGTTCCTAAAGCTACTACTGAGGCTAAAATTTCAATATTTGTCAATGTCTATTATTCTAGTCCTAATGTGGATTTTTTATACTCTTTTCACTTTCTTCAGTTTATCTGTGTTCCTTCTGCGGAATGAGATAGGATATTCCATGAATTGGAGGTGATTCATCTCTCTTTGTTGCCTGAAGTGATATCTGAGCCCAGGCAGATTAAAGTCATATTGGTCATTTTGAAGAAGCTTTTGCTTTGCAGACAACTCTGTCATTTGTCCAGCGTTCTCACTCTTGCATGTCTTTAGCTCCCGCTTCTGGCAGGGCTTTTTCCTTGATTTTATCTCTGAGGTATTTTTCATTCTTGTTTCTTCATTTTCTTTGCATAACTTTTCCCACAGTCTCATTTCTCTCTCATGCTTCTTTCATTTGTGTTTATGCTAACTCCCTTTGAGTTGTTTCTATCCACCAGTGTTCGTAAATGTCATTCTGTATCATGCAAGTTTCATCAACATTACCTTTATTCAGTCTTAGATCTTTGATTCAGATGTCAAAGGCAACTGGACTAGCAAAGATCCCTGCAGCAACCCAGTAGATGCACGCCCCCTGTACCTGTTGATTCTGTTTCTGTATCATTATACATCATATCTTCATTATATAGCATATATATCATTATGCTTATTTTTGAAGCTGTTAATTTTCTAATAGTATGAACAACCGAAGCCAATTTTAGCTATGATTTCCTTAAAGAATAACAAATAATATTGTAAGTCTAAACTTACTGTGTTATGCAATGTATTCTTTCCATTCTCTACCTTCACGCAATTCTATCCTCCTTTGAAGAGCAGTCAAGTTTATTATTAAGATTTAGGGTAAAGGATGCTCCTCTCTCCAACTTCTGTCAGCCACCATGTTAAATGAGTGCCCAACGCGTCCCTTTGTAGAGCCTTGTAAAAGAAGTCAGGAGTTTGCATGCGTGGAGCTCTTTACAAGATCTGAGACTACATGATTAGAAAGAGTTCTTTAGGGTTTGGAGGTGGTATTTTGGGTTCTTGGTTTTTGGGGGTTTTTTTGGTGGGGGAGGGTTTGGTGGGTTTTTGTTTTTATTGTTCCTGCCCCTCGGCTCCTCCTTTTTCTGGAGATGATGCAGTCACTCCCCTTTGTTTTTAACACCATATGAATTAGACATTTTCCTGCTAGGGAGGGGCAGGTTTTCCAGTTCCTGGTGCCACTGGCTGAGTCACTGGCTCTGTTTTTCTGTTCTGTTGTAGATTTATAATTACCTTGTTCTTACCTTTGTTAAAATGTGATTGCCAAAGGGTAGGTGTTTTGCTTTGCTGTATTTCTAAGACATGAGTGCCAGCCAGTGGCTTTCAGAGCCTGGGTACAATCTTTTGAGGCATCTGCTTTGCTATTGCCAAAGAGAAAATAAATCAGTGCAGTCCTCAAAGTGCGTACTTTCCAATGGTATGGTAACCATTAATGACAGATGTCCAGGTAAAGTCTAATCTCTTTATAACCAGGACTGCTTTAACTGAAGCAGGAAATGACAAGAGAGCATGGAGCGTGTGTGTGCTGAAATGGAAAGGGAGGATTTGTTGATGTGTCTTAAGTTCATTTTACCTGATCATACATCTCCATAGCAGATCCTCAAAATAAAGCTCATTGGTACCAGATTAGCCACACTTAGACTGGTCTTTTGGTCTGAAAATCTTGTCAGCTTAGGGAAAAAAAAAGGGAGGTGTAAAAGAGAGGTTTGTATAAGAAGATTATCTCCAAGCACACTCACTGCTCTTTGAATTATTTTTATAAAAATAAATTTATAAAATCCTGTTTCTTCCTCTGCCCTATTTGTTTGTGAAGGGTCTGTGTGGTCAGAGGAACAGAACTGTGCAGGGGAAACAATGTAAATCTCTGTTTTTATCCAGCTTGTAAGGTAACTGAAAAATAGAGAAGAAGTGTCTTTTTCCATTGCTTCTGGTCACTGGTTTTATTTACAAGAACATGCTTTAAAAACTGTAGTAGAGTCTGTTGTTGGCTGTGTCCCTTTAAGAATTTAGTTTTGCTTGGCTAGCTGCCCTTGTTCTCCTGTAGATTAATCCAGCAGAAGGTATATAACCTGTTGACCTTCCTGGCGAGAAGGGTCTGGAAGGGCAAAGAGATAATTTAGAAGGTTCATGCTTTCCTGTAATATCTGAGGACAAGTTTAACTGTTTTTCTGTTTGGGTATTTTTTTTTTCCTTGCTGATACCTGTTTGAGGGTTGGGGTTGTAATTACAGAGTCTCATTATTTTCATTTGCTTTCTGTGAAATCGCTCTGTGTTCAGCAGGTTGGAAATAACAGCCGGTTTATGCCACATGTAGAGAAAGGAAAGAGTTCTGAACTCAAGATTACACTAGTTCTGAATTGAGGGCAGCTTTACTGTCCCATGTACCAAACTAATGGGAGAACTGGAATCTGATTTAAACGGCTGGCACGTGTTTGTCTGCTAGGAAATTTCAGACTCTTACAGGAAACCAAATCTGTTTGACTTTCCCCAGTGCCTTAAGAAGTGACCAACTTTTGCTGTAAGCTGTGAATGTTCACCTGCTGCATGTTCTAGATGGAGTGTGTGGTCCAAAAGTGAGCTGGGGTGGTGTCTGAATACCCCGAGAAAGTGCAGCTTGGTTGGTAGCCATGAGTAGGGTTCATTTCATATGATGAAGATCTTTCATCACGTGTGTTCTTTACTTAGTCGTTGTGTTATCATAAGTTTCTAACTCCTTTAAGCTCATGTCTGACTGCTACTAAAACCAAAGCACATGTGTAGTTGGTTGACTGAAGGAGGAAAAGTCCAGGGAGCACTAAGCATTGCTCCCATTTTATACATCTTTTCTGCCTGATTGTGGCTTGCATTTGTCTTGAGGCTTTAGTAGAGGGCTTAGCCCTGGCCAGACAGGTCATGCCCACAAAACAGACCATCTACAAGCATCGCAGAAGTGGAAGTCACAGGCTGTGTGGTCAATGTCTCTGTCTACTCTCTTGTAAGTCTCTTAGCTCAGGTTCACCTGTTAATTTCTTGGAGACTGACTATAGTCCTGGAGTTAAACATTTTCACTGCTTTGGATGAGGTTTGCAAACATCTGTCTTCTGTTTGAGTTCATGTGCAATTCTGCCATTGGTGTCATGGGAAGCCAAGTACGTCACAGTTGTGTTTTTTTTTTTCTGGAGCATCTACCCTTGAGCCCTAGACAAGAGGTTGAAAGATGTCATGAACAGGAGGCAGGACTAGGAAATAAGGATTTGATTTAGATATCATAAAATGGGCATTATGAGTCTCTCAATTTAGTGTGACTTGCCAGTAAATACTCAAAAGATGCTCTTTTTCCAGGCAGTGTTGAACACGAGTCCCTCTGAAGTTAAAACATGTTCAATTGCAAATTACTTTTAAAGTTAACCTTTTCTTGTCTTGAAGTTCTTGTCTACATTTTAACCCCACTCTGATTTTGCTGTTGGGTGCTTCACTTAAATCTTTGTGCTGTATTTTTTTCTGTAGGTAAAATGGGGGCTTTTGAGCCTGATGGTGAGATTTGCAGGACAACTGAGTTTTGATGAGTTTAGGAGCAAGGTTTGTTTTAGGTTGCTATTAAAGTTTCCCTATCCTCTAATCATTAAGTGAATAATACTCTTTGGGAAAATGCTCAGCTTTGTTTATTTCTGTTTCTAGCTCGGTTTGGTAAGACCTAAGTGATTTTAAACTGTCAATATCTACACTCGTCTGTACTTAAAGGGACAGTTATAATTTTAACACATTAACTAACACTACCAGTGATTTTGTGATGGAAAAGGGACATGACTGTCTGACTTCCTCCTGGGTCTTTGCTTTCTAACCAGCTCTGTGCTTGATGGGAGAATGACTCCTGGTCACCGCTGCTGCCAGCACAAGGGTGACTAACCATTTTCACCCTGCCACAACCTTCATCTGTTTGGAAAGCTGTGAAACACATGCCACATGTCTTGGAAAGTCAGGGAGAATGGGAGCTCTGGGAACAGTTCCCGCATGGGAGACAACAGTGACTCCCCAGGAATTCCACTGTTCCTTTGAGAGCTGGGGCCGGCCCACTGTGTGGCTCAATCCCAGGACAACCTGGCAGTGTCAATCTCTGCTGCCCTTGCTGGCTCGTTTTTCCCTCCCAGCTGAGACATTAATCACGCAGTAGTCATTTTGTCAGTCCAAGGCTGGCAGGCTGATGATGTGGCCTGTGCCTGGGAGCTGTGCATCAGTTACCCGTCACTCAGGATTGATCCCTAAGCTGGCCACCCCTAGACTAGTGGGATCAGAACCAGCCTTTGGTTTTTTGTTGTTGGTTCCTGGGGTTTTTTTTCTTCCCTCCTCAGGGCAGCAAGGCTCTGTGCTCTGTTTCCTTTATCGCAAATGTAACTGATTGGATGGTGTGCAAGGCCACACACAGCCTTATCTCATCACATCCTGTTTGACTGCATTATCCAGGGCTGCACTGATACAAGTTCTGCTCTCTCCTTGCTTTGATTTATATCACTCAGCTGGACACTACATCCTCTCTCTGTTTCAGCCAGAGCTAGCTACTGCAATAATTTAAGAGCTGTTTTGCTTTGCTCGGGAAGTCAGGTGCCTTTTGAACAGCAGCTGCTGCAGGCAGTTTCGGTGTAGCAAACAAACCAAGCTTGATTTTGTGTTAGGCAGTGTGACAACCATTCAGCTGGAGCCCAACCTTCTGCTGGATATGATCTGAGGCTAGTAGTGCTTGGTCCTTTGTAAACCAGTCTTATTCAGAGGTGAGACAGAGGCATAAATCTCACCATGCAGCTTTTAGATGTAATGAGTATATTACTTCGCCCAATACATAGAGGAAAATATCAGTTCTTTCTTCGTCTGGCACTGCTGTCAGCTAAGAGCTTTTGCTTCACCTACAGCAAGTAACACTTACCTTAACTGGTTTTATTCATTGGATTATGCAGCATTACTCTGGTGTCCTTCGTGGATAGGGCTATTCACCAGCATGGCTCAGGATTGCAGGATGTTCTGGGCAAAAAGAGAGATTATAGCCAGGCTCACCATTTGCCTAAGCTGTTATGGAGTGCTTGAGTGAAGCTCCCTCTAAAGTCTCAGTGAACTGCACCTACCCATCCGCATTGTCCCTGGATCTTCTGCTGAAACTGAGAGTCTCTGGCTCCAGGCTGGTTTAATGATGGGAGTGCAGCTCCTCAGGGGCCTTAGAAACTTGTTGCTGTCTGGTGCTGCAAAAATGCTGTTACTTTCAGCATATAGTTCAGTGCTCACTGGTCTTACTACAGCTGCATCTTTATTTTTCTCTGTAAACACGTCCATGATTTTTGTCCTCTTATGCCTGCAAGCTTTAACAGACCTTGAGTTATCACTGATTAGCTGTTTTCCCATCTTTTCCCTTTCTAGTAAGTTTTTCCTGCAGTTTTTGAGTTGAACTATCTTGGAGCTGCTCATCTACTGATTGCACTCATTCTTCTCTTTCAGAGGAACTAAGATACTATTGTAGTATCCCATAGAATTTCCCAGCCTTCTTCCTCTGGTAAGTTGGAATGCTCTCTTCCATCTTGTACCTTGTGCAGTAGGTTTCTTAGTATCCCAAGTCGTTGTTTCCCTAAACCCAAATCTCCTTGCATGACTACATTGTGTAAGTTCATTTGTTAGCTATTCTGGATAGAAGTAATTGACTGGTTGTTCCTGTTTCCAGGTTTTCTTACTGTTGTAAACTATCGTTTGAGCATCTGTTCTGGCTGAACTAATTTTTTTAAATTCCCAGTTTGACTGCTGATCAGAAACGGAAAATGTTGTAGTTCAGATCCTCTGTAGTAGCAGTATTTGGCTCATGTTACCAAGTGAATACGGGAGTTATTTGGTTTTGTTTGCATTACAATGACACCAAGGAATACCTGTAAGTGGAAGCAGCCCCTGCCCCCACAGCTTGCGGTTCCGCTGAATGACACTGAAGATGATGGGATGTTCTCAGCAAAGCACAGTGGCTTTCTCAGAGTGCAGCCAGCTCAGGAGCAGGAGTGGAACTGCACTGTCAGACTCCACACGGCTGTGCTGGCAAGCGTTCCTGCCTTGGAGGGGTAAGTGAATAGGGACCTGTCTGGTTAGTGAGTTGTGATCAATTCCAACAGAGAAAGGGGATGGTCATTGCGTAGGGGGAGTTTTTTTGAACAGAGCAGCTCTAAGAAAACTGAACAACTGGAGACAGCTGGATGCAGTTTTTCAGATCCTCAGGAAAGTATGATTTTGCATTGAGCAGCTGCCACAAACACTTAAGAGGGAGCTGTTACCAACAGTAATGACTGAGGGATTAATATTAGAAAGCAGATGTGTCAGACTGGAGTCTGTTAAAGATGTGCTCCCTGTCAATGAGACCTTGCTGAAGGGCTCTTGGCAGCTGTCTAGCCCTGCAGGATCTCTGAATCTCAATGAGATACCAAGTGTGAAAGGAAAGACAGTGTTGAAATTACCAGAATTGGAATACTTAAACCAAAGCTGCTGGAGCTGAAAGATTTTTGTGCTTTCTCCACGGTTTTGCTTTCCTCAGACCCAAAACCCTGCCTTTGTGAGTGACTCGTTAAGAGACAGGCCATGGCAGAAAGAAGAACAGGGAACAAGAGTGAACAAGAAACAATAATTTGACAGAGAGAAACATTAAGAAGGAAATGTGGTGAGGACGTATGTGCTGTGAGGAGATTTGTGTCTGTGATCCTGGGAGAGAACCCATGACTTGACCCCACAGAAAAAGATTATTCATCATCTCTCAGTAAAATAAGAGTTGCATCAGAATAAGAAAAACTGTAAGGTACAGTTGCAGATGTACAAGAGCCAAGGAATGGGGCATAAGTTTTAACTGAGGGAATCTGAAGAGAACAAACACCAAGTCCTATGACCTCTGGCAAAACTTGCTATTATGAGAATGGGACAACATCCTCTGACTTCTGACCTTCAGAACTGTGCCTGTTGAGGGAATTCAGATGGGGAAGGAATTGTCTGAGCATGTCAGGGATGTCTGTTTAGTGCTTTCAAAATTAAATTCCCTCCATGTCAGAAGAAAGCTTTATTATTACAAACTCTTCCACAGGCATATTTTAAGAACAAAATACAAATACTGAAATATTAAGCAATATTAGAACACTCAGTAATAGAAATCACCATTAGAGTAACCAAGTTGTATGCATATAGCAACTGTTGACCGGATGCTAACTGAAACATTTCTATTTTGGTAAAGTAGTTACTAATGAATATTATTCAAAACTTTGTTACGAATAAGACACTCAACATTCTCATGTTTCTGAAAAATTCTCTGTTTTTCACCAGATTACTCATTCCATGGGAAGTGATTCCACTGCCAGTTTTTCAATTTGCCATAATAATAAAACCATTTACCACAGGGTTTAGCCCCCAGATTCTTTAGTTTGATTTGCTTATTTTAATGAGTGGCGTCAACAATGCAGGAAACAGAAGGCTTGAAGTGTTCAAAGCAGAGCCACAGACCCCAGACAGCACCCAACCAGGATTCCCTGAATTACTGTTTATTGCCTCTGAGCACAGAGTATTGCTTGGAATTGCTCATGGAGCTTGCTAGTTAAGCAACATTATTTAAGAAAACTTGGCAGGCCCTTTCAGCCCTTGGCATCTTACCGATCTAGAGGCATAGAATTATAAGGATTTTTATGGCCATTTCAGTCTATGGAATTTCTTCAGAAGTTATCAAAATGAAGTCCAATTTGTGTTAGTGTCTGGGTGGTTACAGAGTCTTCAGCTGGAGATGGCCAAACATCCTTGATTTCACAGTCTGTACTGTTCCACTTTTCTCATAATCCCTCACAAATAGCTTTTGTACCAAGAAGGGAAAGCAGAATCAGGCCTCAAGATGTAGAAAAGTTGGGATTGCCCACAATAGCACATTTCAGTTCCTACTGACCTAGCTGTAGCTCGGGACAGGACTAGCATTGCTGGTCGAGGCACAAAAAGTAAGAAGCAAAAAAAAAAAAAAAAATCTAGTCACTTCAAGATTTATGTAATTTCTTTTGTCACTGCTATTATGTTCCATATCTCTCTTGATTTACACCAATATGAGAGAAAGCCCACATATTCAGTCTCTTGCATGTAAAAATGACATCTGCTCAAGTTGGTGCAACTTTTCTTTCATGTTTGGAGAGCTGACATTAAACTGAATAGAGTGTGTTTTCTCCTCCAGTTATTCTGGATTAATGGAAAGGACTCAGAGATTCCTTTGCCACCAAAAGCACTTAGTGCTAGGGCAGATGCAGAGCCCTGTAAAACATGAAATGATCAGGCAACGACTCCTAGGGTGTGAATGCGGGAGGAGGAGAGTTGTGCTTCAGATATATTTACTTAGTTTCAACCTAGGAGTGTGCCATGATGAAATCATCTGCTAGGTATTCATCTGTGTCAGCATGGACGTTAAGAAGATGAAAATAACTGGATTCAAAGTTGGTGCTTTTTATGGTCGTGATAGTCCTTCATTCCCTAGATGACTTTGTCTGCTTGTATGTATTGCTAGGGGATTTGGCTTG